TGTCCACAAACAAATTTCACCATTTTTGCCAAGTCTCCTGCACCCCAAGGAAAATAAAGGTGTGTGTGTAGAGGGGGGGGGGGGGGCTTTATGTAATGAAACAAATGAAATCTACCATACAGCAAAATCATGAATATATGACAAGTGGAAATTTTCCATTTTATGCAAATCACATTTCCACAAGGGAAAAAGTGACTTGTAACCATAAAAGAAAAAATTGAAGGCAAGAATAGAACAGAAGTGTTCGGCTTTTCTTTTTGCCAGGGTTAAGAGTATTTCTAACTTCACGGGTACCATACCCAGTATGCTGAGCAAGTGCACTTCCTACAACTTTTGAAACACTTCCTCCTTGTCTTCTGTGTGCCTCATCATTCTATACTCCTGCAGAAACATCTTCACTGGCCACCAAACAGAGGCAAATGTTAACACTTTCACTTCCTCTGAAAGCATCAGTTTCTTTCTTTCTTTCTATCATTTCCATGCAAACTGAACAATGACAGCTCTTGTCTAGCTGTGCCAGCGCTAGAAACATCCAACCATATGGGTGTCAAGTATGGCACACTTCACCCTAAATCACCTCACCCTTGTTGATGTTGAAACTATTCCTCCGATATCAACGGGGTCAGTGCCCATTGTAGTAAAGAATGTTCAGGTTTATTAGGAGTCAATGTTACTCTCTATTAAGGAGTATTGGATTCTGTACCCTTCACATAAGCAAGAGAACAAAGGCTGATAGGGTGATGTGGAGCGGAATTTGACACGTCAAACACAGCAAGATATTTTAGGGTAGACACAGCTTCTACGAATCACACAAACCAAGACTGACGTACAGATACAGATGTTTGCAGTGTTGGACCCAGAATATAAGAGAGAGAAGGTTGGTGAGGTAACATCTTTCATTGGACCAACTTCTATTGATGGAAGAGACAAGCTTTCAAGCTAAAAGGAGTTCCTCTTCTTACAGATATAGAGACAGTTTCCATAGCAATAGTATCTATGCCTTCTCAAAACATTCAAGGTACTAATATAGTTAGAAATGCATTTAGAAATACTTTACTCATACATGGATTGATTGTGCAAAGAGCTGAGCACTCCAGACATAATTAGAAAAACATGTGCTTAAATTTAAGCACAAGAGTAGTGGGAAAAATGGATTTACTCTAGAGCTATCAATTAATCACAGTTAATTCACATAATTAACTCAAAGCAAATTAAGTATTAAATTAATGATTAATCACAGTTAATAATACCAATTTAAATTTATTATAAATATTTTGGATGTTTTACTACATTTTCCAATATATTGATTTAAACAATACAGAATACAAAGTCTACAGTGCTCACTTTATATTATTTTTATTACAAATATTTGCACTGTAAAAAATAGTATTTTTCAATTCACCTCCTATAAGTACTATAGTGCAATCTCTTTATTGTGAAAGTTCATTTACAAATGCAGAATTATTATTTTTTACATAACTGCACTCAAAAACAAAACAATGTAAAACTTTAGAGCCTACAAGTCCACTCAGTCCTACTTCTTGTTCAGTCAATCGCTAAGACAAACAAGTTTATTTACATTTACAGGAGATAATGTTGCCCACTTCTTATTTACGATATCACCTGAAAGTGAGAACAGGTGTTCGCGTGTCACTGTTGTAGCTGGCATTACAAGGTATTTATGTGCCAGATATGCTAAACATTCGTATGCCCCTTCATGCTTTGACTTGTAGATTGAACTATCTTTTGTTTCTTTTTTACGGTGCAAATATTTATAATAAAAAATACAAAGTGTAGAGTGCTCATTTTGTATTCTGTTGTAATTGAAATAAAAATATTTGAAAATGTAGAAAAACATCCAAAAATATGTATAATAAATTTAAATTGGTATTCCATTATTAACAGCGCAATAAAAAAATTTAATCGTGATTAATCACAGTTTTAAACCATTTGACAGCCCTAGTTTACTCACATGCTTAAAGTTAAGTGTGTTCTTACGTCTTTTCTGGATCTGGAAAAGAGTGCTCAGCCAGGGTTCAGGTCTTGACGTGGCTCCTCATGTCCATATGCCATCCACATGTCCTATGCCTTCTGCTTGCTAAGCTGTATCCTCTTCCTGCTGCTGCTATTGCAGGCGCTCTGCCAACAACAGGGTGTGTCTATGCACAGCTCTTGGTTTTTCAGTCGCAGCAGTCAGGCTGTCTGCCATGCAGCTTTCCCTCTGCAACCTGCTGCCAGGTTGCTGTCTCTGGCCAGCTGCTTCTATTCACATAAACCTCTGACTTTCTCTCCCAAGCAGGTCAGGTCAAAATATTTTATCAAAATTGTTTTTGATGAAACAGGTTTTTTTGGATGAAAAGTTGACATTTTCCAAGGAAATTTGACAAAACAGGGGTAAGGGGGAGGGAAATTGTTCTCTTTAAAGATGTCGGTGGAATTATTTTTCCACAACTTACTCTACTCACAACTTAGATCCCCCTAAGAATCTTGAGGGTTACTACCCTTTCCTGTACGCTACATTAGTGAGACTGCTGTTTAAATGTTAGGCTAGGCAATACAGAATTCTCCTTTGGCTACATCCTTCCCCCTCCATCTTATTTAGATTTCAGGGAAGACGCTGAGTAATGAGCTAGCGAGTTCCTTATGATATTCATGTATAATCTATTCCAGATATTGCAATATACCTATATAATCTACTTCCCTTCATGGGCTGGAACCAAGACATCAGAGCTGATCACCCTTTAAACCCTTGAGAAACTTCAGATATGAATCCAAATTTGAATCAGAAATCTGCAACTCAGTCACTTTTCTCCAACTGAAATGCAGCCTTCCTGTTGTCATTTCTTCTACTTCCTGCTTGGATGAGTCAGGATTTTGGGTCTGCTTCTTATGATTGGAGACTTCACATTCTCTTCCAAATAATTTACTCTTTCAGAAAGAATTTCTGATATGATCTTGTATTGAGTAGTGTAATTCAGGAAGAGTCAGCAAAGGAGAGACAAAAAAGGCTATAGCAATGATAGATAGTGGACTACACTTGCTATGAATGGAATTTGCATCATGCTATTGGAAAACTATATAAAAGTCACACAGATATTACCCTGAATAATACTGTGATATCAGTATTGTCAAGGATGAAAGTTGATCATTCTAGTTTACATTTCTAATAGTTTTGCCAGAAAAGTGGAACTGGAAGACACCAGTGAACGGGTCTGACCCTTTTCTAACCAACTATCCTAAATATAAAATGGATACTGCAAGAGATCTCAGAGAACACTTTGGGTTTGAAATAACTAGAGATAATCAAAGTATTGTCCTTGCACTGATGAATTTCACTGGGTTTTTTTTTTCACTTAGAAATGCCTGCATTAACCTTGTATTGATTATAAGACTAGGGAGTCAGTGGTATTACAGGGTCAGCAGTGAAGCTATATGCAAAAGATCCAATTGTAACAATTATATCTCTGAATATTTTATGCAGTTCCGATAAAATTTGTTCATGCTTTAAAGACCTGCAGCATAGTAGATAAAATAACTTAATTATCTAATAGTGCATCCTTTTGTGAGACATTCCATTAGCTGATTGCACACATTTAATTGTGTTTAAACTCAGGTCACTTTGCCTTCCCATCCACCTTTCTCTGGTAAAAGTAAATACAGTATGTCCTTTATAGCAAGCCACGTATTAATCCCTATACAATCATTGTACACAAGGATTGCTTTCAAAAATCTTGATAATATGAATGTTTTATGAATGCATTAAAAGATGGACAAGCACTCTAAGTCTTCTTGAAAGATACTGCTTTGGCTGTCCTCCTACACTGAACTCTGAATGTTTCATTAGCTCCCAGCATTTGGAAAATGTAATGAAGAAGCTGTTTATTTTATAACCTGTCACCAGAATAAAGCAACCTCAACAGAATTCCACTGTATTAACCCAAATAAGCAATTCCAGATATGGCTTTGTACCTATGATTTATAGGACAACATAAGAAACTGTAGTCACTCAGGGCTAGTAGAGGATCAACTGTCTGTGGCCACAAAAGGGAGTAAGAGTAACTAAGGCACTTCCTGACTCTGTTACTTGTCCTTCCTATACCATAGGCATACATAGGTGGGTGGGAGAGGAAAGGAAAAAATGGGACAGAGAGTAGAGGAGAACCTTGGTTTGCCCCTCGCATGCCAGTGCTGTATCGGTGCAGAAGGCACTGTGCCAGGGTTAGGTCCGGTGCAGTTTAGTTCCTCCCTGGAGCAGGCAAGCAAACTTGGAGACAGATTGCAACTCCGAGTCATAGTCTGATTCATAAGCTGCTCTCAGGGCAACATAACTAGACACTGCCACTTTTTCAGAATAGATCATAATGGGATAACCTAGCCCTCATTCTAATAGGACTAGTTTTATGATGCTGGGAGTCTCTGCAAGGTTATTCTTGGGAAAGAACTCTACAGATCTCCTCAATCTCTTTCTCCCCTTCATACTTTACCTAAAATTATCATTAATAATAATAAGAAATGCTTAGAAGGCACGGACTTGGCTCATGGTGTACCAATCAATGTGACAGACCCTATAAGCCAAGGTAAAATTAGGGACTGTCTGAAAAGTAGTAGGTAACCTGAAAAATAGGATTTTCTCTTGACAGTGGCATTTATGAGTCCCAAAGAGTTCTCCCTAAATTCTAACATTTATTTTGGTTCTATTTACGTAATAATGCTATTCATTTATAATAACATATCAATTAAATGGTTAACTATAAACCATGCCTCTTAGCCACTGTCACTACAGCTCCATTGCTGAAGAAGGGTTTCCTGCAGCAGTAGATACTCATGGAATCTTTTTGGTAACAATAGATGTAATTGGCCAGTACATTCTGCTACAAGGTTAAACGTGCCACTGTTCTGCCTTTCCCAGGTCTTCTCACAGATCAGGGTAATCTAAGAATCTCTGCAACAGCGGGCTAGTCACCAGGGGAGATTTTCTAGAATAATGAATAAATAGTTACCATGGATTCTGGTATCGATGAGTTATCTCATCTTCAGCAGCCTGACGGAATTCTCCAGTCTGTCAAAGAGAAACAAAGCATGTTGTTTTGGCAGCATGTTGACAAGGAGAATTGATATTATATTTGTCTGCCCCTCTCCAATCAGAGTGGGAGTGGGGAGAGAGTCCATGAACAGATTTGAAAGCCAAAGAAGGGTGCTATGGTTCTACATCTTGAAATGTGAAAGCAACCTGAGTGCAGCATTCTGACCCCCTTAAAATTTAGAGAGGAAGAATTTAGAAAGACAATAAAACTGAAATTGTACGGCTATATTTCTACAATGTCTCAGGCAATGGAACAAGGGACTTAAGAGTTAAGCAATGTCTGGTACATCTAAGGGTCCTGTATGGGGATGGTAAAATTGAAAAGATCAAAAAAGTTCACAACAGGCTACAAATCAGAGAACATGTGGGCAAAAAGGGGGCAGGGCAGCAGATGGCAGTATGTGGAAGTCAAAGAGAAATCCAGGGCAAAAGGAAAACGCTGGTCTACAGGAAGTAATATTTTTTAAACTTAAATTGGCTCAGCAAGATAGTCTCACACGCTACTTGTACACGTATCTTGATGGGGGAAGCAACAATAGAGCACACGGTGTGCATTTTTCAGCAACACGCTTACCTTGAATACCACATCCTATTTTCCCCACTCTACTCTTACCCATTTTTGCTTCTCCCCATCTCTCTCCAGTTGGACCTTAGATGCACCATGTCTATTAACAAATCTGAGGGTAGAAATTAAAATAGGAAAGCCAATCTAAGCGTTTCTCATTTGAATTCCTGTAATGCTGCTTATCGAAGGGCAGAACTTGGTGCATTGCAAACAATTCTGCTACAAATCTCTGAATCAAAACTTCAGTTATTTCTATGAAATTCAAGCATCATATGATGTCTTCATTGTTCTCTTTAGTTTTTCTAAGTCATATTCGTCTTTGCCAACAGTTACAGGAGTTATGCAGTCCAACACTGAAAATGCCAGTCATTGCTAAAGCAGCAACCAGTTTGCCACATAATTACTTCCTTGCTCTAGTCTGCTGTCCATGTTATTTTGTTTTGAGAAGGTTCTTTGTTTAATCCACCATCATTAAGTAGTGATGGAACTATAGTCCCATAATTCAAAATGTACCTTGTTTTCATTTCATGCTTTTACCAGCTCACACCCTGCAGCTTGCCTCCTCTCTTGCTGTTGCCTTTCCTGTCCTATTCCCTCTCCCCAGCCTCACTTCTGTCTCCGTTTCTCTCAGGAGTTGTAATGAAAAACCAGCACTTACCTTGTGGCCCCTCTCTGCTTCTGCAGAATTTAAGCTTATGATTAAAAAAATAAAAGTTACATTTCTATCCCTTATGGCTGCAAAGAAAACATCTTCTAAAGGTGAACCCATGCTGTGCTATATTAGTAAGTCTGCAGATATAGGAATGACAGCTTTAAGGGCAAATTGTATTTCCCTCACAGAGAGTACGTCTGCACTGCAATAAAAAACCTGCTGCACTGAGTCTCAGAGCCCAAGTCATCAATGTGGGCCCACAGGACTCGAGCTGCAGGGCTAAAAACTGCAGTGTAAACATTCGGCCTGGATCATGGGTTCTGAGAACCTCCCCCCCACAGGGTTTCTGAGCCCCGGGATCCAGCCTGAGCCTAAATGTCCTCACTGCAATATTTAGCCAACAGCCCTAACTCTGAGGCGGCCCAGGCCAGCTGTGGCCATGCCACAAGTCTTTTATTGAACTGTGGATGTATCCAGAGGCTCTGAGACAGCAATGTATATGAGCCCATTATGCATGAGAGGAGTTGCACGGAAATCCGTGCTTAAAGTTAGGCCCATGCATTTATGTACCCTGCTGAATTGGCTCCATAAAGCCCAAGTATTCAGGCTATAAGTGAAGTGTGAGGGGATGAAAAGCAAAAACCACAACAAAATCCTTGTGTGGTGCAGCCAGTTACTCCAGGCTATGGGTCAGCATAGCAGCTATAGTTTCCTTCCTGCTTCCCTCCTCCCCCCCTCATCCATCCACCAGCCCCCACATATGCCACTTGTTAGGACCACTGGATTCATGTAACTGCAGATCCAGCATCCACTGTCCAGCCTGCTCTCCATGCCACCCTCTTTGCTGGCTTGTTCAGGAGCCACTAAATGCAAACATAGGGCACACAGGTCCTCAAAGTTTTATAAGGAAGCTCCCTGAGCCGGCACATCCCATCCCAGTTTTCCTATAAAAATGTCTTTGAGACAGGGGACACAGCAACAAGGAATGGACTGTAGTCTTGGGGAAGCAGTCTGGGGTTTATAAACAACAGCCATCCTGCAGACCCTGGCTTTATGGCCCATCACCAGGGTTCAGTGAACAGAAAGGACTGGAACTCCTCACACCAGCAAGGGATCAGGCTAGCTCTTGGTTGTCCTCACTAGTGTTTCTCAAAGCAGCAGAAGAGCAGGGCTGGCTGGGAAATGTAATTCCTTATGATAGCCATAATTATTCCTCTTTTGTAAGGCACCATGGAAAATATGGTCAGTATATAAACAGTATCCTTGCTAAAATTTGGGGGAAGAGACCTGGAGAGAGACAGGCTCTTTTTATGGTCTCTCCTGGAAGACATGAACAGTTAATTCTACAGACCTAGTGTTGGGGGAGCAGTAGCAACAAATATTAATATTATGGTACCACCCAAAAGCCCCACTTGGGACAGGGCCCCATTGTGATGGGTAATGTGTAAACAGAAAAGATAATCCTTTTCCTGAAGGGTTTATAATCTATGGCCCTAGATTGCTGGTTTTTCCTTTATTGGGGTTTGGGTGTGCTTAGACCAGGTTAAGGCATGTGATATGTGTCTTACTTAGAGAAGCAGCTTTTGGTACAAGTGACTTATAAGTATTTGGTGCCTAGACACCATAGTGACGGGCACACAAGTAATGTCTATAAAAAGGTATTGTTAGCTCATGGGTGGGATCTTGCAAGGGTTGATTGCCACTGGTAGCTTTTCTCCAGTGAGGGGCCTCCACTGATGGAATTTGCTCCCCTCGGAGCTCTGCCAGAACCAGAGTTTGTCAAGCTTCAGGGTCTGACACAAAGCCCTTTAAAAATGGTTTGTATGAGTTCTTATTTTTGTTCGGTTTTGGTTATTTTGTATTAACAGTTGGTCTAGTAAGACACTGATGATAGTAATGCAAGGGGCAATTAGGTTGCCATTACTTGCTGCTAACTTATCAACAGGGCCCTACCAAATTCATGGTCCATTTTGGTCAATTTCACGGTCATAGGATTTAAAAACTCGTAAATTTCATGGTTTTAGCTATTTAAATCTGAAATTTCACAGTGTTGTAATTGTAGGGGTCCTGACCCAAAGGAGTTGTGCAGGGTCGCAAGGTTATTGTAGAGGGGGCTGTAGTACTGCTACCATGACTTCTGTGCTGCTGCTGGCGTCAGCGCTGCCTTCAGAGCTGGGCAGCTGGAGAGCGATGGCTGCTGGCCAGAAGCCCATCTCTGAAGGCAGAGCCATCAACAGCAGCACTGGAGAAGTAAGGATGTCAGGGTATGCTATTGCCACCCTTACTTCTGCGCTGCTGCCTGCAGAGCTGGGCCCTTAGTCAGCAGCTGTCACTCTTGGCCACCCAGCTCTGAAGGCAGCGCAGAAGTAAGGGTAGCAATCCCGCGACCCTCCTAAAATGACCCTGTGACCCCCCTGCAACTCCTTTTTGGGTCAGAACCCCCAATGTGAGAAACGCTGGTCTCCCCCCATGAAATCTGTATAGTATAGGATAAAAGCACACCAAAAACCAGATTTCACGATCCGTGATACATTTTTCAAGGCTGTGAATTTGGTAGATCCCTACTTATCAAACTTGTTTTTAAGTTTATATTTATTTATTTGTTTATTTTATAGGCCTAGTTGCTATGGCAACAGGAATTCATAGAAAACAAAATAAACCAGAATAAAATTAAAAAGACAGATGGCAAAGCAGAGTCATTCTGAATAGTAATGCAAACAAAGGAAATAGCTATCTCACTTACATCAGGTAATCCAGAAGTAACTCCACTGAAGTCAATTGTGTTTACATAAAGAAAAGGAGTACTTGTGGCACCTTAGAGACTAACCAATTTATTTGAGCATGAGCTTTCGTGAGCTACAGCTCACTTCATCAGATGTGTACCGTGGAAACTGCAGCAGACTTTATATACACACAGAGAATATGAAACAATACCTCCTCCCACCCCACTGTGGGAGGAGGTATTGTTTCATATTCTCTGTGTGTATATAAAGTCTGCTGCAGTTTCCACGGTACACATCTGATGAAGTGAGCTGTAGCTCACGAAAGCTCATGCTCAAATAAATTGGTTAGTCTCTAAGGTGCCACAAGTACTCCTTTTCTTTTTGCAAATACAGACTAACACGGCTGTTCCTCTGAAACCTGTGTTTACATAGGTGTACATGAAAAGAAAATAAGGCTCAATATCCACAAATATCACCAACCATCAAACTGGAGAATGGTCAAGTTCTTTCTGTTTCTTCCCCTCTATTCCTGCTGGGAGCCAAACTTTAAAAATGGGGAAACCAGATATGGAAGGAGAGAGAAAAGGGGTCATGCAGAATGTCTAGCATGGGGGATATTGCAGGAAATTGCAGGGAGTCCCTGAAATAGAGGGGGATGGGTGGGTGGCACACAGGGAGCTTGTGAGGTGGAATGCAAGGAACTCATGGTGGGTGCAATGAGCTCAGCCTACATAGGCTTCAAAGTATGTGACCCCCTAGTTCATGAGGTTTGTAAAGCAAAATGAACTAAAATACTTCATGGCCAAGAAGATGAAATTTTAGGGCTGAACTCAACACTCAGTTGCATTGAAGTAAATCCACAATAATAAAGCTATTGCAAATTTAACCTGGTATAACTGAGACCAGAATTTGGCAGTAGACTTCGCCCTAAAGGATCAGCAGCAACTTGAAATAGCAATATGGTCATTTAGAAGTAATATATCTTTTTCCTATATAGTGAGCGCATTTATCTGATGCAGGGATGGCAACAGGAATATGGGTTCGGAGACTCTTACATACAATGTCAACAATTGTTCAGAACACAATGTGTTTGTATTTTCAGAAATGTTAGGGTGCTAACACTGGCAGAAATGTTGTGAGTCAGACATCACCACTTTGTACAACAGATCTGAAAATATGTTTGTTAAGGTCCTTCCCCACTCTGAATTCTAGGGTACAGATGTGGGGACCTGCATGAAAGACCCCCTAAGCTTATTCTTACCAGCTTAGGTTAAAAACTTCCCCAAGGTACAAACTTTGCCTTGTCCTTGAACAGTATGCTGCCACCACCAAGCGTTTTAAACAAAGAACAGGTAAAGAGCCGACTTGGAGACGTCTTCCCCCAAAATATCCCTCCAAGCCCTACACCCCCTTTCCTGGGGAAGGCTTGATAATAATCCTCACCAAATTGGTACGGTGAACACAGACCCAAACCCTTGGATCTTAAGAACAATGAAAAATCAATCAGGTTCTTAAAATAAGGATTTTAACTAAAGAAAAGGTAAAAGAATCACCTCTGTAAAATCAGGATGGTAAATACCTTACAGGGTAATCAGATTCAAAACATAGAGAATCCCTCTAGGCAAAACCTTAAGTTACAAAAAGACACAAAAACAGGAATATACATTCCATTCAGCACAGCTTATTTTACCAGCCATTAAACAAAAGAAACTCTAATGCATTTTCTAGCTAGATTACTTACTAATTTAACAGGAGTTGGAAGGCTTGCATTTCTGATCTGTTCCCAGCAAAAGCATCACAAAGACAGATAGAACCCTTTGTTCCCCCCCCCCCTTCAGATTTGAAAGTATCTTGTCCCCTCATTGGTCATTTTGGGTAAGGTGCCAGCAAGGTTACCTTAGCTTCTTAACCCTTTACTGGTGAAAAGGTTTTGCCTCTGGCCAGCTGGGATTTTATAGCACTGTATATAGAAAGGTGGTTACCCTTCCCTTTTTATTTATGACAACATTTATCTAAAAGAGCTTGAAGTTTTATATTCCTGGTTAGTATATCTGATTTAACTACAATCTTCTATGACACAAGAGAGGATAAATAATATTTAAGTGAAACTAAAACTCATAGCCACTGAGCTGTCTGATTCTAGTAAAGGTGCTTTTAAAAGATACTTTTATAACTTTGTAGCAAAGTCCAAAGATGTTCTTTTTAATTTTAATTTGTATTGACAGCAACATCTGCAGATCAGAAATGTGGGAGCTGAAATTATTTGAAGACTGTCAGGCATTTGAGAGAGACCTGGACTCCATGTGTGTTATTGATTCTATAAGGGGAAAGCAGTTCAAAACCATTTTCGGTTCCAGAAGAAGCTGATTTAGAAGTATCAAGTAAAATAGGAAAACTGTTAAAAGAAAAACAGCTGTGTATTGATATCTAAGGTAAAATGTTCATCCTATTAATGGCTATCTGATAAAGGAATACACTGGTTACACTGTTAGGCTAAATTTAGCAGCCTCTTTATCACAGACAGGAAATGAAGCAGTGAAGGAGGGCAGGGTGCAACTGCTCAGCTCAACTCTGGTTTCCACTAAAATCTGAAGAGTTCACCCCACATAGATCCTTCATGACAAGAGAGCAGAGGTGACATGCCAGGATGGGGTGTGAATTTTGCATTTTATGCATCCGTTTCCTGTCCCAGATGATTTAGGTCTCCTCCTCCTGTTATTGTAGGTTGAATTGAGTGGTTGCACATGATGCTGTACTCAAAAGAGATACAACTACTCCTGCTTCTGTAGGGCAATGCTGCCAGGAACGCTTCTATGCCCAAATAATTCAGGATCCTAAATAAAGAGATTCCTTAGTTTCTACATACTGGCACCCAGTACTAAGAATGAAGAGAATTAGGTTCCACATTATTATTTAATTTCTGCCTATTTTTGAGTGGCAACCACCACCATCACCCATTCATGAGTCCATACCAGCGTATACATTGGTGGGTGTGTATATTTATAAACACACCCATTTATGCTTTCACAAAGCTTTTTCTCATACCAGACTCATTTGAGCAGGATATATTGTTTGAACAAAGAAGTATGAGACATTAATCAAAGCCAGTATTCTTCCTAGGAATGTACACCTGCTCAGATTTTGCAGCGAAGCAATCAATGAAGGTTCAGACTTTGACCTAGAAAGGACATTGTTTTGCAAGAGTGCCCAAATTATGCCCTTAGGGCCAAATGTAGCTTTCAGAGTCCTCAAATGCCTTTTAGTTCCCTGTGTCAAAGCTATGAAGGAACAACCCATGGAAACTAAAGTTTTAACAGTTTAGAGCCAAAGTCTGCTGTTCTTCTCTAATAGTTCTCGAAATGCCCTGGGCTTTTTCTTTTCCACTGCTGGTAAACTCAAACACAAACAGTTCCTACCCATCCACCACGGAAAATAATCTGTTATGTTTTCAGCTGTAGCTATTTATACATTGTGCTACTGTGCATATTCCTGTGCTACTGTGCAGAGGGGATAAAGGTTGGAGGGCCACCTTTTCCTCCTTGTCGTCCTCTGGGTGGGAAAGAGCTGAACCAGGATAGCTGCCCCCTTCCTGCTTTTCTTCACAGGATGTTGGAAGAAGGACCAGGCCAGGCTCCTCCATCCTTTGTTTCTGTTACTTTTCACAATAATGACAACTGGGGAGAGGAAATTGCATCCAATGGAGGAGTGGGAAAACACAGGGCCCCAAGAGTGGGGTAAGAATTCATATACTGTACACCGAACTGATAATCTGGGGTTTTTAAACTATGTTCATTGACTTTTTTTAGGAGTGCAGCTATGTAATGTGTGAACACTATAGGACATATGTAAGCTATGTCTTAGCGATACAAAAAAGCTCTTTCAGGGCAGGAACAGTGTCGTATATGTTTGTACAGCACCTAGCATGATAGTGCCCCGACCTGACTGGGGCCTCAGGCATAACTGGTCAGATCTATTCAATAAAAACATGCAGTTTTGGCATCTGTATATAAAAACTAAAGATTTTTGCAAAAATTGAACACTTTCCTGCAATCCTTACAATTGAACACTTTCCTGCAATCCTAAGCAAAACAATCCTGTTTGCTTATGTCAAGCAGGTGTAAGCAAAGGTTGCAGATTCAGTGCCCAGACTGGAGGTAGACAAGCTCCAGAATGTCTTGAGATCCTATTCTCTACTTCTGCTCCCCAAGAGGCTGAGCACCACAAAAGCATTTACAGAGTTCTTAGAGGTAGTGAGCACATACTAGACCTGTGCAACCTGGCAGGATTCTGTTCACAGATGAGTTCAGAAACTCATGCCTACAGTTCTTTTTACGGTATTTGGAAGTGGGCCATCACCTGGAGGTTTACCTTAAAGCTCAAGTTCAAACTCAAACCCTTAAGTGAACCTCGCAACTCTTAAGGGAACCTTCCATCCTAAAGTTAGCTCCTCCCAGCTGTTCCAGTCACTTCCTCCTTCCACACTTCTGGGTGTCAGTTTCCCAGCAAGGTGTTAAAACTCACCCCACAGCCATCAAGGCCAAGATTTTCAAAAATGGGTGTCTAAAGCTAACGTCAGTGGGAGGTGCTGTGCATACTGCATTATCTAAAATCAGGCTGTTTGTTTAGGCATCTACATGGACTTGAGAGTCTAACTTCAGGAACCCATTTCTGAAAATGTTTCCCCAAGCTTTCATGAGCATGGGTTGATGTTTGCAAACACATGGGCTCAATTGCTTTAAGATGTTAATAGATTGCACAGCTCTAGTGCACATGTCTTCATTACACAACACAACTTTCCCATTTGATTTGTTTCATGAAAGCTAAGATTTATGAATGCTTCGTATAATTTCAAGTACCACCACTTTAATACATTTGTTGTAATAATGTTGATTGTACATGATCTTAAAAAATGGTGCCTTTTTTATCAAATAAATGTGTTCCATCTTGTTCTCTGATTAACCACTGCACTACAAAGACACAGCATAAAATTACAAAGCAAGACACTCTTTAATGTCATCTAGATGGCATCAGATAAAATTCTGGAGAAATGTATGAGTAGTTACCTTAATCTGCATGCCAGTGAGCAGATTTCCTCTGTTGAGATAACTAAATTCTGTTACTCCCCAGCCAATTTGTCCAGGGTAGGAACGTTTGTGGGGCAATATAGAAGTCGTCCAGGGGGCAGTACGCCACAAGTACTCAAGGTCACTCGTGGCCCCTTGTGCTGGAGTGGTTGCTCCGATGTAGCGAGGATACTCAGGGAGCTTTGTTCTGTAATCACGAATAGCATCTGGGCCTTAGAAAAGAAAAGATTAAAAATTGGTTATATAAAACTGAAGGGTTACATTTCTTACTATTTCAGTATGTGTTGTTCCATCCTTTATTTTCTCAGTTACTTTAATGCAACAACTTTTAAAGACCCGTTTCTCTGCACAAGAGTAGTTCACGCTCATTTTGTCTAGGTCAGATATGTTAAGGACTATTATAAAGAGGAAAGTGATCAATTGTATTCCATGTCCCCTGAAGGTAGGACAAAAGAAATGGGCTTAAGCTACAAGGGCAGCTAAGCTCTGGAATAGGCTTCCAAAGGAGGCTATGGAATCTCCATCTTTGGAAGTTTTTAAGAACAGGTTGGACAAACTCCTGTCAGGGATGGTCTAGCTTTACATGGACCTGCCTCAATGCAAGGGGCTGGACTAGATGACTTCTCAAGGTCCCTTCCAGTCCTACATTTCTATGATTCTATCTTGGTTACAGCATGCTCCCAGGTGGGAAAAAAGCTTTTGAATGGGCACTACTTTTTTATGCTCCTAAAGCACTGACTCTTGAAAAAGAGGCCATAAGGGGAAGCAAAGTAAACCATCATTCTCTGACAGGAAGCAGGATTTTATTGTTTTTGGCTTAGAATTAGGGCCTGCCCAACAAGATGATTCCTTGAGCCCTTCCAAAAACCAGTAGAGCTGCAGCTGTGTCATAGTTTGGGCCCCAAAGGCCAGCGCTGGGCATCTTTGGGAGTTGGCCAGGAATAACTTATAAATATTAGGAAAAGTTACTGTGGCAAAGCTTCTAGCTTGATGAGCAGGGACTAGAACAGTGGACTGTGAGTGAGGAGGTGAGATTTCTATTCCTGGTTTGGCCACTAAATCTTTGCCTGATCTTGAGCAAGTCACTTTCCTCAGGTTCCCCACGTGTAAAGTAAGAATAATGATCTTTACACACCTTGGTGCAGTACTTCTAAGTCTATGGATGAAAATAACTATATAACGATTTTGTATTATTACATTTACATTTAGGGCAACAAAAATGATTAGGGGTCTGGAACACATGACTTATGAGGAAAGGCTGAGGGAACTGGGATTGTTTAGCCTGCAGAAGAGAAGAATGAGGGGGGATTTGATAGCTGCTTTCAACTACCTGAAAGGGGGTTCCAAAGAGGATGGCTCTAGACTGTTCTCAATGGTAGCAGATGACAGAACGAGGAGTAATGGTCTCAAGTTGCAGTGGGGGAGGTTTAGATTGGATATTAGGAAAAACTTTTTCACTAAGAGGGTGGTGAAACACTGGAATGCGTTACCTAGGGAGGTGGTAGAATCTCCTTCCTTAGAGGTTTTTAAGGTCAGGCTTGACAAAGCCCTGGCTGGGATGATTTAACTGGGAATTGGTCCTGCTTCGAGCAGGGGGTTGGACTAGATGACCTTCAGGGGTCCCTTCCAACCCTGATATTCTATGATTCTATGATTTAGAAGAATATCCTTGCAACAAAGAGAGGTAGAAACTTACCTGATACAAAATTAAAGCTGACATTAGTACTGATATTCTAAGAAATCCCAAACACTGAGGAGTCCTGACAGAAAGTTCTAAAGGCCGTCCTGGCAGAAATCCCAAACACTTGATCCTGACAGGTTCTAAAGGCTGGTTCTGCCCTAATAGCTAATCCTTAAGGGTATGTCTATACTGCAAATAAAAGGTGTATTCTTAACTCGGGTTAACTAATCTATATTAGCTAACTCAGTTAAAAGAGCAGCGAAGACACAGCAACTCGGGTTATAATTTGAGTTAACAGCCCTAGTTCAATCCCCACCTGCCCTATATGCTTTAAATTGAGCAGCTAACCCAAGTTAAAAGCAGAGTTGCCATGTCTTCACTGCTATTTTAACCCAAGTTAGTTTATGCAGGTTAGCTAACTTCAGAACACACCTTTTTCTTCCACAGTATAGACTTACCTTAAGTCACAACTACAGTACGTTGATGACAGCTTCCCAAAACTGGTTGTATTAATAGCTCCTTAACATCACTATATTGTGAAGGAAAGATATGTTGCCATTTTCATCATAAACCTCTATTATCAGAGACTTAAACTTTGACATAACAATTTATTCAGACAAAACTAAAGCAAACTCTAAGCCCAGGAGAAAATATTTGCTTTATGTGTTTGGGGGGGGAAGGTAGCAGATTGTTTTTAAGTTGTAATCATTGCAATGGGGTGTACAGGTCTTTTGGGCCCCAAAGGGAAGTTGTCTCAGCCATGACACTCACCACCCCAATATTTCCACAAGGAAGAACCCCAATGGCCCAAGTGGAAAAGCAATGCGACTGGAAAAGAAACAGGTCTTGTCTACGCTTGAAAGGGTTTGCCAGTGGAGCTATTACTGGCAAAACTTTTCTAGGGGAGATGCAGCTTACATCAGGAAAAGAGTTATCTTGCTGCTATAGCCTACACCAGTTCCCTGAACTGAGTAAGCTATACCAGAAAAAAGGCCTTTTTCTGCCAGCATAACTGCAACTTCCATATGAGGAGGGATTATTAAAACTGGGACTTTTCAGCTTAAAAAAGAGACGACTAAGAGGGGATACGATAGTGGTCTATAAAATCATGACTGGTGTGGAGAAAGTAAATAAGGACGTGTTATTTACTCTCTTTCTCCATAACAAGAACTAGGGATCACCAAATTAAATTAATAGGCAGCAGGTTTAAAACTAACAAAAGGAAGTATTTATTCACACAACGTACAGTCAACCTGTGGAACTCTTTGCCAGAGAATGTTGTGAAGGCCAAGACTCTAACAGGGTTCAAAAAAGAACTAGATAAGTTGATGGAGGATAGGTTCATCAATGACTATTAGCCAGGATGGGCAGGGATGCAAAACCAGGCTTGGAAGTGTCCCTAGTCCCTGTTTGCCAGAAGCTGAGAACACGCAACAGGAGATGGATCATTTGATGATTAGCTGTTCTGTTCATTCCCTCTGAAGTACCTGGCATTGGCCACTGTCATAAGACAGACTACTGGGCTAGATGGACCATTGGTCTAACCCAGTATGGCCGTTCTTATGTTCATCTACACTCGGGCTCTTGTCAGCATAGCTATGTTGGTCACAGTGTGTGCGGGGGGGGGGGGATCACACCCTAACTCACACGGCTATGTTGGGTAAACTTTTAAGTGTAGGCACAATTGGAACTTTTCAGGAATAGCTATTCCGCCTTAAATTCAAACCCTACCTTAATGTGAATGAACTTTCAAGTGTATTCAAACCCTAACTACTACTTCCCTCACGTAAGAGATACATTTCCAAACTTCAGATCCCGGTCAGATCTAGTAGGCTCCTGAGACCCATATATGCTGAAGAAACCACCACGTTGGGAGACACAGTGGGAACACTCTAAACAGCGAACTGTCAGCTGTGACTTCTTCCCTTCAGGTTTAGGGATGATTATTCCTAATGTAATGGACTAGGGCACTGCCAATTTAAAACCTTCCAGTGTTAATGGAAAGGAGTAAAAAGAGAGATGCTAGAAAAATTAAGGAAAAATAAAGTAAAACTGGAGAGACTTTCTGATACCAAGGTGAATCATTCCAACATTCAGAGTAACAGCCGTGTTAGTCTGTATTCACAAAAAGAAAAGGAGTACTTGTGGCACCTTAGAGACTAACCAATTTATTTGAGCATAAGCTTTCGTGAGCTATAGCTCACTTCATTGGATGCATACTGTGGAAAGTGTAGAAGATCTTTTTATATACACACAAAGCATGAAAAAATATCTCCTCCCACCCCACTCTCCTGCTGGTAATAGCTTATCTAAAGTGATCACTCTCCTTACAATGTGTATGATAATCAAGTTGGGCCTTCTCACACACACACACCCCACACACAAACCCACTCTCCTGCTGGTAATAGCTTATCTAAAGTGACCACTCTCCTTACAATGTGTATGATAATCAAGGTGGGCCATTTCCAGCACAAATCCAGGGTTTAACAAGAACGTCTGAGGAGGGGGGGAGGGTCGAAAAAACCAAGGGGAAATAGGCTTGAATAGAGACTGGGAGTGGCTAAGTCATTATACAAGGTAACCTAAGTTAATTGTATCCAATTTGCAAATGAATTCCAATTCAACAGTTTCTCGCTGGAGTCTGGATTCGAAGTTATTTTGTTGTAATATAGCAACTTTCATGTCTGTAGTCGCGTGACCAGAGAGATTGAAGTGTTCTCCGACTGGTTTATGAATGTTATAGTTCTTGACATCTGATTTGTGTCCATTTATTCTTTTACGTAGAGACTGTCCAGTCTGACCAATGTACACGGCAGAGGGGCACTGCTGGCACATGATGGCATACATCACATTGGTGGATGTGCAGGTGAAGGAGCCTCTGATAGTGTGGCTGATGTTATTAGGCCCTGTGATGGTGTCCCCTGAATAGATGATATGTGGGCACAGTTGGCAACGGGCTTTGTTGCAAGGATAGGTTCCTAGGTTAGTGGTTCTGTTGTGTGGTATGTGGTTGCTGGTGAGTATTTGCTTCAGGTTGGGGGGCTGTCTGTAGGCAAGGACTGACCTGTCTCCCACGATTTGTGAGAGTGTTGGGTCATCCTTCAGGATAGGTTGTAGATCCTTAATAATGCGTTGGAGGGGTTTTAGTTGGGGGCTGAAGGTGACGGCTAGTGGCATTCTGTTATTTTCTTTGTTAGGCCTGTCCTGTAGTAGGTGACTTCTGGGAACTCTTCTGGCTCTATCAATCTGTTTCTTCACTTCCGCAGGTGGGTATTGTAGTTGTAAGAATGCTTGATAGAGACCTTGTAGGTGTTTGTCTCTGTCTGAGGGGTTGGAGCAAATGCGGTTGTATCGCAGAGCTTGGCTGTAGACGATGGATCGTGTGGTGTGGTCAGGTTGAAAGCTGGAGGCATGTAGGTAGGAATAGTGGTCAGTAGGTTTCCGGTATAGGGTGGTGTTTATGTGACCATCGTTTATTAGCACTGTAGTGTCCAGGAAGTGGATCTCTTGTGTGGACTGGACCAGGCTGAG